TTTTTTGTGTTGTGCTTTCTCTGCTTTAGTTCAATGCGTGTTTAACTGTTCGCCTCTTTCAAAGGCTGCACCCATCAGAAACGGGCCCCCCCATCAGAGATCTCCCCCATGAGTGATCTGAATTTATAGAGGAGATGCTCGAAATGAGATTCAACTCACCCAATTTAGAAGCTGATAAGGCTCACATGAATGTTGGGGGATGTCTCATGGAAACCAGGCTACAGTCGTAAACTGGTGTTGGCAACTGAAGGTGAGGACTGCTATCAACATACACCCAAAAATAAAATACAAAACATTTGTTCTGAATATAACAGGAGTAAAAGCGATTTTGAGTTAGGTGTGGAGGTAGGAGAGGTGCACATGGGAGATAATATCCCCCCCTTATGTATTATATACCCCCCCAATGGAGAACATATCCCCCCCTTATGTTATTATACATGGAGATTCATATCCCACCTTATGATATTATACATGGAGATTCACGCAATCCCCCCTTATTGTAATTTATTACATGGTGATCATATCCCCCTGTATGTATTATAACATGGTCGATCATATCCCCCTTATGTAATTATTACATGGAGATCATATCCCCCCTTATGTATTATACATGGTGATTCCCCCTATCCCCCCCTTATGTATTATACATGGTGATCATATCCCCCCTTATGTATTATACATGGAGATCATATCCCCCTTTATGTATTATACATGGTGATCATATCCCCCTTATGTATTATACATGGAGATCATATCCCCCATTATACATGGTGATCATATCCCCCCTTATGTATTATACATGGAGATCATATCCCCCCCTTATGTATTATACATGGTGATCATATCCCCCCTTAATGTTATTATACATGGTGATCATATCCCCCTTATGTATTATACATGGAGATCATATCCCCCCTTATGTATTATGGTATTATATCCCCCTTTATGGAGATACATTGATCATCCCCCCCTTATGTATTATACATGGAGATCATATCCCCCCTTATGTATTATACATGGAATCATATATCCCCCCTTATGTATTTAATACATGGTGATCATATCCCCCCTTATGTATTAATACATGGAGATCATATCCCCCCTTATGTATTATACCATGGTGATCATATCCCCCTTATGTATTTATACATGGAGATCATATCCCCCCCCTATGTATTATACATGGAAGATCATATCCCCCTTATGTATTTTACATGGATATGATCATATCCCCCCTTATGTATTATATACATGGAGATCATATCCCCCCTTATGTATTATACATGGGAGAATCATATCCCCCCTATGTATTATACATGGAGATCATATCCCCCCTTATGTATTATACATGGTAGATCATATCCCCCCTTATGTATTATACATGGAGATCATATCCCCCCTTATGTATTATACATGGAGATCATATCCCCCCTTATGTATTATACATGGAGATCATATCCCCCCTTTATACATGGAGATCATATCCCCCCTTATGTATTATACATGGAGATCATATCCCCCCCTTATGTATTATACATGGAGATCATATCCCCCCTTATGTATTATACATGGAGATCATATCCCCCCTTATGTATTATACATGGTGATCATATCCCCCCCTTATGTATTTATACATGGAGATCATATCCCCCTTATGTATTATACATGGAGATTCATATCCCCCCTTATGTATTATACATGGAGTGATCATATCCCCCCTTATGTATTATACATGGAGATCATATCCCCCCTTATGTATTATACATGGAGATCATATCCCCCCTTATGTATTATACATGGAGATCATATCCCCCCCTTATGTATTATACATGGAGATCATATCCCCCCTTATGTATATTATACATGGAGATCATATCCCCCTTATGTATTATACATGGAGATCATATCCCCCCTTATGTATTATACATGGAGATCATATCCCCCCTTATGTATTATACATGGAGATCATATCCCCCCTTATGTATTATACATGGAGATCATATCCCCCCTTATGTATTATACATGGAGATCATATCCCCCCCCTTATGTATTATACATGGAGATCATATCCCCCCTTATGTATTATACATGGAGATCATATCCCCCCCTTATGTATTATACATGGAGATCATATCCCCCCCTTATGTATTATACATGGAGATCATATCCCCCTTATGTATTATACATGGTGATCATATCCCCCCTTAATCTCCTCTTCTCAAGAGAGAATAAATTCAGTTCCTCTGATCTTTCCTCATAGCTGATTCCTCCATGCCTCTTATCAGTTTGGTTGCCCTTCTCTGTACTTCCTCCAGTTCCCAATGTGCTTCTTGTGAATTGGCGCCCAAAACTGAACTGCATATTCCAGATGAGGTCTTACTAATGATTTTGTACCGGGGGAATGATATCTCTCTCTGGAGTCTATACCTCTCCTAATACAAGAGAGGATTTTTGCTCGCTTTAGAAACCCACAGCTTGGCATTGCTGCCATTATTAAGCTTGTGATCTACCAGAACCCCCAGATCCTTCTCCACTATTGACCCCCCCCCCCCCAGATCCTTCTCCACCATTGATTCCCCCAGTTGTACCCCCCCTAGTATGTATGATTGCATGCATATTCTTAGCCCCCAAGTGCAGAACCTTACATTTATCAACATTAAACCTCATTTCCCACATAGTTGCCCAATTACACAGAGCATTGAGGTCGGCTTGTAAGTTGGAGACATCCTTTAAGGACGTTATTCCACGGCACAGCTTGGTGTCATCTGCAAAGACTGAAATGGGATTTATAATCTCAGACTCTATATTGTTGTTATAAATATATTAAGAAGTAAGGGTCCCAACACTGAACCTTGGGGTACACCACTGACACCCCTAGACCATTCAGACTATGAATCATTAACCACTACTCTCTGAATACCATCTTTTAGCCAGTTTTCTATCCATACATATGGATTTTTACAAGCCCGTAAACTTTACCTTACACATTAGCATTAGCAAACGCTTTAGCAAAATCCAAGTATACCACATCAACCCCCACTCTGTCCAAGTATACCACGTCCACCGCCACCCCTCTGTCCAAGTATACCACGTCCACCGCCACCGTTCTGTCCAAGTATACCACGTCCACCGCCACCGTTCTGTCCAAGTATACCACGGCCACCGTTCTGTCCAAGTATACCACGGCCACCCGTTCTGTCCAAGTATACCACGTCCACCGCTCTGTCCAAGTATACCACGTCCACCGCTCTGTCCAAGTATACCACGTCCACCGCTCTGTCCAAGTTACCACGTCCACCCGCTCTGTCCAAGTATACCACGTCCACCGCTCTGTCCAAGTATACCACGTTCCACCGCTCTGTCCAAGTATACCACGTCCACCGCTCTGTCCAAGTATACCACGTCCACCGCTCTGTCCAAGTATACCACGTCCCACCCCTCTGTCAAGTATACCACGTCCACCCCCTCATAAAAAAGAAATCAGATTTGTCTGACAACTTCTGTCTTTCATGAATCCATGCTGTCTGTTGCCTAAAGTATCTTTTTCCAGCAAGAACTCATCTATGTGGTCTTTTATTAAACCCTTCAGGATCTTCTCAACTATAGAAAGTTACATTAACAGGTCTTTATAATTACAGTAGTTGGTGAAGATTTTGACCCCTTTTTAAATATTGGCACCACATTGGCCTTACACCAACCCGGTGGTACTATGCCAGCCATTGGAGTCCTAAAACAATGGCTTTGAAATTAGAGCTCAATTCTTTAAGGAGCCATGGGTGTATGCCATCTGGTCCTGGTGCTTTATGTAACACACATGCACACACACACGTAAATTGACAGTGCTATAGAATACCTGAAATAAATAAAAATGGATAGGAGGAAGGGATGTCATTAATAGGATGGGGTGGATGAAGGGATGACATGGGTGGATAGGATGGGATTGCATGGATCAGAAGGAGGGATGGCATGGATAGAAGGGAGGGATAGCATGGCATGGATGGGGTTTAGGGATGGCATGGATGGATGGATAGGATAGGGTGGAGGGATGGGATGGCATGGAAGGATGTGTGGTATGGATAGGATGGCATGGATGCATAGGATGGGATGGAAGGATGGCATGGATGCATAGTATGGGATGGAGGGATGGCATGGATAGGAATGACATGGAGGAATGGGGTGGCATGGAAGGATGATGTGAGGGATGGAATGACGAGTTGGCATGGATAGGATGAGATGGCATGGAGGGATGACAAGAAGGGATATACACGGAGGGATGCTATAGATGGGATGGCCTGGAGGGATGTGATCATGGGATGGCATGATGAGATGGAATGGATTGATGGGATAGAGGGGTGGCATGGATGGAGATATGACATGCATGATGGGATGGAGGGATAGGATCATGAAATGTAGGGATGGTATGATGAGATATATAGAATAGGATGGCACAGAGATGTCGTAGCGGGATGGCCTGCATGAATGGGATGGGTGGAATGAATGGGATCCATGAGATGATTGGATGGGGTGAAGGGATGGCATGGATGGATAGGATGCAATGAATGGAATTTTGTACATCATCCACTGCAGTGAAATGAGATTGATTCTGATAGTCTGAGAGTCTGTTTTTCCCAAAAGTGTCTTGATATGGCAAAGATGGATGTGTGTGTACAATTCTTTTTTGTTACACTTGCACATATTCCTGGTTTATTTATTGGCGATTAGAGAGGATAATTGTCGCTGCACTCAAAGGATCTGACTATATGTTTGTAAAATGTGCAAATCACACAGGAGTGCTGGCTAGATAACATGGGTCTCATGTACACATGAACTCCCCTAGACGTTTAACTCTCCTGGCAGAAGAAAAAATGCTAAACACATCAAAAATGTGTGTAAGTGCAGTACTCGGTTTAGCGCTTTGCATTTATTAATTTGATTAGCCACAGTATTTTCAATTGACATGAATAAATGCCAACGGCTAGTTTAAAATCAAGCCCCTAGGCATGCAGATTGCTTCTACAAAACATTGGTGAAAGAAATGGGTCTCGCTCTCAGGAGCTCAGTGACTCCAAGCGTGGTCCCGTGATAGGTTGTCACCTGTGCAATAAGTCCATCCGTGACATTTCCCCTGACTACTAAATATTCCACGCTCAATGTTAGTGGGATTATAACAAAGTGGAAGCAACTGGGAACAACAGCCACTCAGCCACCAAGTGGTAGGCCACGTCACATGACAGAGCGGGGTCAGCACATGCTGAAGCGCACAGTGCATAGGAGTCGCCAACTGTCTGCAGAGTCAATGGCTAAACACCTCCAAACTTGGTGTGGCCTCCAGATTAGCACAACAACAGTGTGTAGAGAGCTTCATGCAATGGGTTTCCATGGCCGAGTAGCTGCATCTAAGTCTTACATCACCAAGTGCAATGCAAAGCGTCGGATGCCGTGGTATAAAGCAAGCCGCCACTGGACTCTAGAGCAGTGGAGACATGTTCTCTTGAGTGGCCAATCACGCTTTTCTATCTGGCAGTCTGGTGGACATGTCTGGTTTTGGTGGTTGCCAGGAGAACGGTACTTGCCTGACTGCATTGTTCCAGTGTAAAGTTTTTGGTGGAGGGGGGATTATGGTGTGGGAGTGTCTTTCAGGGGTTGGGCTTGGCCCCTTCGTTCCAGTGAAGGAAAGTTTCATGCTCCGAATTTTGTGGGAAGAGTTTGGGGATGGCCCCTTCCTGTTCCAACATGACAGTGCACAAAGCAAGGTCCATAAAGACATGGAGGAGCCAGTTTGGGGTGGAGGAACTTGACTGGCCTGCACAGAGTCCTGACCTCAACCCCATAGAACACCTTTGGGATGAATTAGGAGTGGAGACTGTGAGCCAGGCCTCCTCCCCCGACATCAGTGCCTGACCTCACAAATGTGCTTCTGGAAGAATGGTCCCAAACCTTCCCATAGACACCCTCCTAAAACTTGTGGAACAGCCTTCCAGAGGAGTTGAAGCTGTTATAACTGCAAACGGCGGGGCCAACTCAATATTGAACCCTAACGGACTAAGACTGGGATGCCATTAAAGGTCCATGTGCGTGGAAAGCAGGCCTACGAATACTTTTGGCAATATAGTGTGTTTTAAATATCTATATTCTATTTTAAATCCTCTAATCTTCCTGTGAAAATCCCAATCACAAAGGAGTATTTGAAGAAGCCAATTATGGCACAAAAACAACCCGTTAGGTGGGAGGTGACGTCATCATGCTGGGTGTAGTCAGTTTTTTTGTCTTTTTTTTTTTTTTTTTTTTTTGTTGACATGCTTTATCCTTTCTAGGGACCTTCAACAGCTTCCACTAGCGGGAACAATGCAGCTGGTCAGCCAGAAGACACAATCAATAGCCAACCACAGCATGTAACTGTAAGTAAGTGCATCCTGGTGCTTGCCAGGTGAGAGATTGACTTGAATCCTTAGACAAGCCAGCCCTGATGAAATGAGCACACTGTCTGAGGATCCATTCACACCTGTCCTCATTCTTTTGCACACATTAATGCTCATTGCCATTCATTTTTGAATGGACTTTCAGCACACTAAAACAGATTTGCAAAAATGCAGCATTTTTTTCTTAAGCAGTGTACTACAACACATAATCATGCATTGCAGTGCGTTTGGTGTCGGAAATCCCTATCCCTGACCCAGTGATCTGAACCGTTCCTGGCCCATTCAAATCTGGGCACATCAGAACACAGAAAAATCCTGTGGGCTGGTACAGGAACACCCCCAGGGTTGATTGTCCAAGGGCTAAAGTCCAGCCCACATCCATTATTTCGATACATTGAGGACCCTGAAATATGGATGGTGTGATTTGTACGGAGTCGGGTTTCATTTCACACTGTGAATTGCAGACTTCTCTTTTCAACTTGCTCCAGTCACAGGATAAATCTAGGTAAAAGTTTTCTTTATCCATTTTATGTTAGTGACTAGCCCATTATGTATGGTGTCTTTTTGTCTGTCTTGTATTTTTTGTAATTCCTTTTTTCTTAGTACATATTTTTATGCACTGCCCACTTTCAGGTAATAAAATCATAAAATTAATAAGTGACCTCTGTGTACTAAGCTCGGGGCTCATATCCCCGGAGATGTTATTGTATTGTAGTGTCTATTTGCTCAGGTTAAGTTTATTGCCAATCTGAATTTCACTGCGTGTGGCAGATTGTAAAGTGTGCGTGTACAAACTTTTTGGGTGGGTAAGCTACCATCTGGTGTGGGTACAGTGGAAGAGTGATTAACAACCGGGTTCTAGCTTGTATAGATAGCTGGAGGAATTCTAGAAGGGGGTGCTAATAGCTAGACTGTTCCCCAACCCCGTTAGCCTGGGTTTCACACTGATGTGCATACTTTTGGCAATATAGTGTGTATAATATCTATATTCTATTTTAAATCCTCTAATCTTCCTGTGAAAATCCGCAATCACAAAGGAGATCTTTGAAGAAGCCAATTATGGCACAACCCATTAGGTGGGAGGTGACGTCATCATGCTGGGTGTAGTCAGTTTTTTTGTCTTTTTTTTTTTCTTTTTTATTGACATGCTTTATCCTTTCTAGGGGCCTTCAAACAACAGTTTCCCACTAGCGAGAGCAGTGAAGCTGGTCAGACAGAAGACACAATCAATGGCCAACCACAGCATGTAACATGTAAAGTAAGTGATCCTGGTGCTTGCCAGATTTAGAGATTTACTTGAATCCTTAGACAAACTAGCCTTGATGAAATGAGTAACTGTCTGAGGATCCATTCACACCTGTCCATTTTTGTGTGCGGCACATTAGTGCTCATTGCCGTGGAGTCATTTTGAATGGACTTTCAGCACACTCTAAAACTAAATCGAGATTGCAAAAATGCAGCATTTTTCTTAAGCAGAGTACTACAACATCATAACTAATGCATTGCAGTGCGTTTGTCTCGGAAATCCTATCCCTCGCTGACACATAGTTTGATCTGAACACACTCGTTCTACTGGGCCATTTACAAATCTGGTGACCACGATCACATCAGAACACGGCTCTGACAGAATGTCCTGTGGGCTGGTACAGAACAAATACCCCTGGGTTGATTGGCCAAGGGCTAAACTCCCAACCCACATCCATATTTCAATAAATTGAGGACCCTGAAATATGGATGGTGTGATTTGTACGGAGCCGGTTTCATTACACTGGTGAATTGCAGGAATTTCTTTTTCAACTTGCTCCAGTCACAGGATAAATCTTGGTAAAGTTTTATTTATCCCTTTTCTATGTTAGTGACTAGCCCATTATGTATGTCTTTTTGTCTGTCTTGTATTTTTTGTAATTACTTTTTTCTTAGTACATATATTTATGCACTGTCCACTTTCAGGGTAATAATCATTATAAAATTAATAAGTGACTTCTGTGTACTAAGCTCGGGCTCATATCCCCGGAGATGTTATTGTATTGTAGTGTCTATGTGCTCAGGTTAAGTTTATTGCCAATCTGAATTTCACTGCGTGTTGGCAGATTGTAAAGTGTGTGTACAAACTTTTGGGTGGTATGCAGCTACCATCTGGTGTGGGGACAGTGGAAGAGTGATTAACACGGGGTTCTACCTTGTAGGATAGCTGGAGGAATTCTAGAAGGGGGTGCTAATTGCTAGACTGTTCCCCAACCCACAGCCTGGGTTCACACTGATGTGCATACTTTTGGCAATATGGTGTGTATAATATCTATATTCTATTTCAAATCCTCTAATCTTCCTGTGAAAATCCTGATCACAAAGGAGCCTTTGAGCAAGCCAATTATGGCACAACATGTCAGGTGGGAGGTGACTTCATCATGCTGGGCGTAGTCCAGTTTTTTTTGTCTTTCTTTTCTTTTTTGTTGACACGTTTTATCTTTTCTAGGGGTCTTCAAAGATGTCAGTGAAGCTGGTCAGACAGGAGAAGCAATCAAACGCCCAGAGCATGTAACTGTAAGTGCATCCTGGTGCTTGCCAGATGAGAGATTGACTTGAATCCTTAGACAAACCAGCCCTGCTGAAATGAGCACACTGTCTGAGGACCCATTCACACCTATCCATTCTTTTGCACACATTAATGCTCATTGCCGTTCGCTGCTCTGGGGCTCCCTGCAGCACTTACCTTGTCCTTCGCTCCTGCGATGTGTCCCCTGCAGCGTCCCGGCATCTCCTCCGGCCGATGCTGGCATCCGGCTTCCGTGTTCCGGTCCCTGTGACGTCGGGGACGTACGGGCGCCGGAACCGGCGGGAAATTTGAAATTTTTTAAAAAAATGGCATTTTTGCTGTCATTGCTGTTTCAATGCATTTCACATATATTTTGCCACTACTGCTTTGTCCTGTGCCCTGCCTGCATTTTGACTGTTCTTTCTGCCTGGAAACTTAGAAAAGTCCATGGCGTCCAAAAAGCGTCCCTTTACGTCAAAAACGGTTTAGACCGGCTAGAGAACAGCGATAGTAAATCAGAACCACTTGCAGAATTGAGTGATAATGATTCGTGGGGGAAATTCATCATCAGACACTGAAAACGATTCTGCGACTTTGCTCAGCGATGTGCGAATTTGCCTCTGTATTTCACATTTCAGTGTTTTTGGTTTGATTATATTATTGAATTTTATTATTATTATTATCTATACTTATTATTTTTTATGATGATTATTTATTAAATTATAATTTATGATTTTGTGTTTAAAGTTTTTATCATATGCGGGATGTTTACTAGACTCTTGTTCGGACAGATTTCAGTGAGTTATTCCTAAAAATTACAGCCTACAATAAAAAACTACATATTTCCATGCAAAAAAATGTACCGCTTTCAGCATAAAAAAATCGGGAAAAAATCAGACCGCCGAGGAGGTTAAATCAAATCTAGTCATAAATTTAGGCCAAATTTGTATTCTGCTACATGTCTTTGCTTAAAAAAAAAAAAAAAAAAATCCCAATAAGTTTAAACTCATTGTGTGGGTTTTTTTTTTTTTTTACTAGTAATGGTGGTGATCAGCGACTTACAGCAGGACTGCAGTGCATAGCAGAGCCATACAAAGCAGTGTGCAGGAGCTGATGGGGGAGAAAAATTGTTTTTATACACAGGTCTCTCCCCCCATCGGTAATACTCGGAGATCGCTAGGTGCTGGCAGAGAATTGCCGGACAGGACCTGGTGATTGACAGCCGAGGCCACGAATGGTGGCGCGGGTAGGGCGCGCGCTCCCCTTACCCGGAACTGCAAAATCACATGTATAGATGTGCTGCCCTGTAGCAGTATTTTCTGCTATAGGGCAGCGTGGAAACAGTTAATCCTGTGTTATTAGATATACAGTATTCCTTAATCAGACAGACATATGTTTTTAATTAGCATTTGAGCCCGGGTTCACATATGGTGCGGGAATATCATGTGATTCGCACAGGAACCGCACCGCATTCCTGTGCATATCCTATGCCAGGGGTAGGCAACCTGCAGCTCTCTA